ACCTTGTGGTCTACTACTTATCCTATAGCACCACACCACGCCTCCATGTTGTTGTTAAGGGCCGTCAAGTCGGTTCCGACCCATAGTGACCCTGTATAGGGTTTCAGAGGAGCTGCTGGTGAGCTTGAACTGCCGACCGTGCAGCTCAAATGGCTTTGCAGTCTGGCGCAGGCCTCCATGTTGTTGTTGTTGTTATATACCGTGGAGTCGGTTCTGACTCATAGCAACCCTGTACAGGGTTTCTGAGACTGTAAATCTTTACAGGAGCAGAAAGCCTCATCTTTCTCCCGTGGAACAGCAGGCCTCCATAAGACTATGAAAATAACTGGCTTCAAGAGAATTCGATAGTTTGCTGTTAATTGTTAGCAAATAAGGTGCATGAAACTCTTGTCGGGGTGTAGAGTCAGAACCCACCTATGAAGGATGAAGAATATGGTTGGGTTTAAGTTTAGACAGCTTTGAGTTTTCAGAGTCATGTATTACTTCAGCACAACTTAACAGCTAAGCTGATAAATATAGCTCTCCTCTCTTCCGTGTAAGATTGCTGCCAGAAGCTCATATTTGTAATGCAGGGAGTGTACTGCACAAAGATTCCTGTCTCTTTACAACCTACACAGATACAAACATTACTATGATTGAGTTCCACTGCACAGAGGGAAAACTGAGGCTTTAGGAAGCTGGTCTGCTTGCCCATAAGACCATATTGATATGAAGAATTGTTGCCAAAACTAGAAGGCAAGACTCTCATTCCAAAAGTCCTTTTTTTTTCCCCCCTTTCCTACCAATATGTAAAATATTATCCAAGTAAAACATGACTACGTGAAAAAGTAGAATTCAAAACTCACACTGAAGAGGGCAGGACCCTAAACAATACAGACCCTCACAGTGATGTGGAGGAAATACAGATGCAATCTGTATTGTTTAGGATGCGCCATGTTACTCTGGAGAAAGAAAGCACTTCTCAAAGTCTCAGTGACATAAAGGTTTTTCACTCGGGCACCATGTCCATCATGAATCAACTGTAATTATTATACTCAATGTCATCTTCACTCCAGGAACAACCACGCAGCCTCTGCCTGTACCCTAGCAAGTAGGAATGGCAGAGCAAGGGAGCGGAAGAGGAAAGGAACAATGAAGAACCATGAACAGTAGATGAGTCATTTCGTGAATAAAAACCAGCACAAAGTTGTTCATGTTGTTGTTAAGTGCCACAGAGTCGGTTCCAACTCACAACAACCCTGTAAAGGGTTTCTAAGGAACGGCTGGTGAGTTTGAACCACCGACCTTGCAATTCAAACCGACCTTAAGGTCAAGTGTTTATCCTACAGCGCCACACCAGGTGGAGGCTAAATAAATCCCAGAGTGGCTTTTACAAGCTACTGCGCCAGTCCGTCATCTCTGAAACCAGCTACTCCCCAACCAAAGTCCCCTTCTGCCCCCGTAATGTTGTTGTCAGGCTCTGCAGAGTCAGCGCCAACGCACAGTGAGCAGCCTACATACAGCACAATAAAACTGACCAGCCAGTCCTGTGCCATCTTCACAATTACTATGTTTGAGACCACTGTTTGCAACCACGGTATCAAGCCATCTCATTGAGGCTCTTCCTCTCTTTTGCTTAGCTTCTACTTTACCAAGTACACTGTCCTTCTCTATCGGTATGTGGGGCAATGTCTGATCGTCCACTTTATTATTATTATTATTATTATTATTATTATTATTATTATTGTGAATTGAGTGATTGTTTACATGGGAGAACATCAATTCTTTTCACTGCAATGATTAGAATCCCCAGCATGCTTCATTATTTAATGGTATTGCTTCTATTCCCTCTGTTGTTGTTTTTTTGTTGTCTGTTTTTGTTTTGCTTTTTTTCATGGACCAAAACACTCAGGAATATACAATCATTCAAACAGCCAAAGGGTACCCTGCCCTCCGGCCACCAGCGCACATCCCCTCTCCCTCCAGAATCCTCACCTGCTCCATCTCTTCACATCATCATCTCTGCCTCCATCTTTGGCATTGCCGCTTCTCTAGCTAGGGTCCCACACTCCGCTCCCACTCTTCTCCCTTGATGGTCCCAGGGTCCTTCCACTCCGGGACTGTAAGATTAACCACTCACCCCTTTTTGCTACAAAACTTCTCCCTTTACAGTTGCGACAATCGCAATTAGTCATGATAACAATTACTCACTATTGAATCATGAGAGTCTTGTCCCCATCTCCTTTCACCAGACCTATCATCCTCACTTTTGAAGATCTGTTTCTTCTTCTGACAGTGCATATAATACTTGCAGTATTCTTTGCCAACACGCTAAGTCAAAGGCACTGATTCTGCTCGGGTCTTCCTTATTATCCAACTTTCACATGCAGATGAGGCCATTGAAAATACCATCGCTTGGTTCGGGTTCACCTTAGTCTTTAAAGAGACACATTTGCTTTTAAACACTTTAAAGAGATCATTTGTAGCAGATCCGCCCAATACAATCATCATTTGATTTTTGAACTGCTGCCCCAAGTAAACTGATATCCTTGGTTTCCATTTTTTCTCCTTTCATAATGTTGTTGTTTTACTGGTCCAGATGTGAAGATTCTTTTTTCTTTACCTTGAGTTGTAATCCCTACTGAAAGCTATAGTCTTTGGTCTTCACCAGCAGGTGCTTCCAGCTCTCTTCGCTTTTAGCAAGCAAGGTTGTATCAGCTGCATATCACAGGTTGTTAATGAGCCTTCCTCCAATCCTGATACTGTGTTCTACTTCATATAAAACAGCTTCTCAGATTATCTGTTCAGCATACAGAGTAAGTATGGTGAAAGGATACAACCCTGACACACACCTTTCCTGATGTTAAGCCACGCAGTGTCCGCTTGATCTGTGTGAACGACTGCTTCTTGGTCTCCGTACAGGTGTAGCATGAGCACAATCAAGTGTTCTGGAATTCCCATTCTTCCTAATAGTGTCCCCAGTTTACTATGAGCCACGTAGTTGAATGTCTTTGCACAGCACTAAACCCAACATCACCAGTGCCTATGCAGGAGAAAATGCAGCAGGCTGCTTCCATGAGGAATATACCCTTGGAAGCCCCATGGGACATTGCTACTTGGTCCTATTGTGTCACGATGAGTTGAAAACACTCCATGGCAATGGGTTGAGTTGGGTGGGGTTGGGTTTGGAGGTTAGGGACGGGGTTACTCACAAAGGTGTTGGCAGAAATGTGGAGCTAGAAAGGATGCTGATGTACCGTAAGTGCTTACAAGAGCAATTCTAGGGTTTAAAGGTCAGGGAGGAGGGAAGGGGTGGAACACACGTGGACTTAGCAGAATTAGAAGACAGAACTATGCAGAGAGGAGCCGACAAAACTTTTGGTCTTCAGCAGTTACGCAATTAACCAGGATGACCCAATACAGAGAACCAGGAGAATGAGTGCAGCTAAAACACCAGAGGAGAGAACTCGGTACATTTAGAAAAGCCACCTAAATTCAATTTAAACTTTGTTTGCATTCTCCAGGCAAAGAGGCCTGGGTGAGGAGAGGCCATCCTAACTGACCTGTGCTCTTTCGGGGCCTGATTTGCAACCTTGATAATTTCCCTAATAAACCCTGTGAGTATGGTTGTTGTCTGAGTTCTGTGTGGCCACAACAACAAATTATGGAACCTCGATGAGAAGCGGGGAGTGCTACGTGAGGAATGGTTGGTGCCATTTTGTTCTGCAGGTTGGTTTCAGGAGTGGGAGTTCATCATAATGGCTCCAGATTCACAGAAGCATGGGGTTTTATAAAAGCCAATGAACAAAGGGGCATGGTGAGTAAAACTGTTGATTCTTACTTTACTTTGGTGGTTGTTACCTATAATCGCTGAAAGGAATGTAGGAAGTCATGCTACACCTGAGGGAAGAAAATCTCCTACTGGAGTCACCTGGGGCAAAACAGCCAGGTCAGATCAACAAAGGGGA